ATTAACAAGGGAACAAAGTTTCCTGCGTTAATTTGGAAACCGTACATTTATTTGTAGATAACATTTAATGACGCATATAACATTCGTTTGATGCCGATCATCGTAATATAGCCGCATAAAATAATGAAACAAACCCTAAATGTAAACTTTCCGAATTTATTCAATAAACAGTGATATTATGTGTGAATGATTATCGCAATTCTGCGTCCTCTCAGTCACGAAATATACTGCTGCAGAGCCTCTGAATAAAAAGTATCATTTTTTGTGTTGTTTTTCGAAATATACATCACGTGATCGTTGCCATGACAACGAAAAGTAGGTCAACTTTTAGAATCTCCTTTGATAAATCATATAAAACTTGAATGGTAATAATCAAAGCCATACTTATTTTTTATGATTTTTTGTTTATTTTCGCTAAATACACAAATTGAGACCCAAGCATTAATGTACCTGAGTTCGTCTCAAATTGCAAATTTCAACCTGCGAACGGGCATACTCATTACGGGATGTATGGCCTGCGGAGAAGATAGCCAAATAAGTGTATATTTACACCATCGCAAGGTGTAAATTAACTGGGAGAACAGGTAATGTTACACAGTTATAATGTAAATCTACACTAAATTAGGTGTAAATAGGATATTTTCTACTTTACACCCAGTAAGTGTTACAAGAACACTAAAATAGTGTAAAGCTACATTGTGGAAGTGTAATGTTACACTCGAACGGTTTCAATTCCACGTTACACCAAATTAGTGTAATGTTACTTACACCTTTTTGGTGTTACCGCAACACCGCGAGATTTACAGTGTATATACTACATCTTTGTAATTTTATTATTGTGCACGCCCCTTGTGGAAATCAGCCTAGGTTGACAATGGTTAGCGTGTTTAAATAAAAAGTTCTATCTATCTAGATCTTTGGCATATGTTATGTTGTGTTATTGTTCACTCGGTAATTTGATAATTTCTAGATCGCGTCCAAGGAAAAAATGTTATTGAGTGATGCTGCAACAGGCTTTCCAAGAAGCAAGAAGTCGCTAAATTTTTTTTGTATACTTAAAGTGCTTATATCATGGTTTTGGAGTTTGCATATCTCGAAAGTTTAGGGTATTTTAAGACACTTTGCAATATATTTTGTTGTTGAAAAATTTCATCTTGATGGATTTATTAGCTCTTAAAGTTACCGGACATGACGTCAAAAGGAGAATTTTGTTGCAATTATACAAATGAAAACTGAGTTGCAATTCTCCTTTTGACGTCATGTCCGGTAACTTTAAGAGCTAATAAATCCATTAAGATGAAATTTTAAATAACAAAATATATTGCAAAGTTTCTTAAAATACCCTAAACTTTCGAGATATGCAAACTCCAAAACCATGATATAGGCACTTTAATTAATAGACACTAGTTTAGCCTTAATTAAGGCTCTTTTCCACTGATCGCAAAAACAGCTCGCAGCGAGCTGGTGAGTGTTTGCGAGTACTATAACGCGGAGTAACTCGCAGCAGGCTTGCGAACACACGCAGGGAAGTTAATTAAATATCTATATTTGAACAATATTTTCTGATCGCGCCGAACAAACCATTAGCCAATGGAATTCGTAGAAAATATTATTTAAACATTATATTTATCATATTTATCTTATTTATTTATCATTTTAACGTTTCACATACTTGAGATGTCTTCTCCTACGACGTCTTAAATAAAGTAAGAGCATGAAAAGGCGCCGATTTAAAGATTTAAAGTGGCCGCCATTTTAGTGCAAAACGCTCGCTGCGAATTGTTTTTGCGATGAGTGGAAAATAGCCTTTACGCTATAAATACAATAGTGTGTTGCAATCAAGCTCTATAGACTATAGATTAATACCGTGTTATTAAACTTAATTAGACAAACGAAATATATATAAACGGCTTCGATGGCATTATAAACTGTCTTAACTCATAAAGATTAAGTTATGCGAAATTCGAGCTTATATTCATCTTCATTTTATCAGTTCGTCACGCTTCGGCATTTTTGTACAAAGCTCAAAGCGAAAGTAAGAAAAATATCCAGTAAAATAACATTTAACATGTAACTGGCAAACTTCAAAACATACCATTTGTATCTATACAATTACTATCGCGTAACAATAGTATATAACCGGTACATATTCTATACGAAACTTGAAAATACAACTGCCAACGATTAGCATATATGAACCATTATTCGAGCTAATACTACATATCAGGCTTTTTTAGATTAGAAGAGCATACTATTTTAGTTAAGCATATATAATATATGGCTATATTACTAATATATTAAAGCCAAGTTACAAGAATTTCAAACTGTACCTTCTTATGGCATTAACAAAACTTGATCTACCACTCCCAGTTCTTCCAACGATAGCGATGTTTACTTCAACATCGTCACTGCTTGAATTCTGGACGCAGCTTGGCTTAGCAGTTGCTGTTACTTTTTTTTGCTCCACTTTCGGAAAATATGCTGTTGCCATCTTGTTTGAATTAGTTAAGTGTTTGAATGCAGTTTCATTTGCACAGACACAGTGTTTTAACGCTAAAACACTGACTGTCTTCACAAGACGTCATATATATGCATTTTATTGTTATTCAAATAAACTAGAAAGATTCATATGCATACATAATTATAACTATAATTACAGTAAAACTATATCCAATTTCCCCTGGATTTGACGCAATGTCGCAATAGTAGCTACATTAATTTACTCCGGCCAACTTAACCATTCCAGGCGTAAGCCAGGGGCGAGGGTATCAATGCCGCTAGTCTATTTATATCCGGGACAAAGTCTAGAGTTCATCAATAATCGCAGGCGCGTAGCTATGTTTCATCGTGTCATGAACATCATCGGTGAACCTCCTCATTGATCTCTAAAAATGGCTGTTTCCAGGATACACCCAATCTCGAACCCAGGGTCTTCCTCGTTATGGCGCGCGAGCTGAGGAAGACCCTGGTAAGCTGTGAACACATGTAGTACAAAACTATTCAACATACGTCATCATATTGTATCAATTGTCGGAGTATGGCGCTCATGCATATTTGTAACATTGTTTTGTTCGCTTTGGCAACCATTATATATATATCAGATGCTGCTCGGCTTCAAATGCCTTAATAAACACTGACAATGTTGGAATATGAAATGATATTTATTGATGGTACTGTATATCAAGGTAAGTACTGTACATTTATGCTCAATTTATTCGATTTATTTTCATGTGTTGCTTTTAAATTTAAGGTAAGAACCCTCAATAGTGGGGCTATTAAATGGAATTGCCCATTTGAAAATTGAAAACAAACTGAAAGCATGCTGTTCTGCTTTACATAGAAAACAGAATAAATATTTTAAACATTTCTAATGTTACTTGCAACGATAATCATAATTGACGAGAAAATATGGAGTCTTTCTGTATGACTGTATGTTAGTGATGTGTTCTCACTCTTCGTTATAAGGCTGGAATTATAGTTTGAGACTCGTGTGAAAATAAATTCAGTTAAATCTACTCATGTACTCAGCGATCGAACTTTTTAATATCAACCTTACATAATATACAAACTCTCTAGTCTCTGCATTTGCTCTACTCCTGTTGATATCAACCTTGAACAAGTTGTTGATTTTCTCAAATTTTACGCGTGTACGCCTTAATACTTATATTGTTTTTCTTTTTTTCCCCCAGTCATCTGTCAATCAAAGTAACTTAATATCAAACCTATTATTAATATTAACTGGTAATCGTATTATAACTTATGCTAAGTACATATTGTAACATCCTCCCCGTTTTGAAGTTCCGCCCTTCGTTGTATTTATAGCTCCGATGCCAGTGCTCTTAAGGTGTCTGTGCATTTGTCCGCACTTTAAGATTGTCAATGTTAGAATGTTTATCATGTTTATCCCAGTGCAATAGTCTGAAAAATATGCCGGTATTTTGCGCAGACGTTGTGGCTGTGCTGGCTTGGAAGTCTCAGGCTGATGTTTGGCTGGGCTATGGGCTGGTTCATTTCTCATCGGTTCCGAGCCTGGACTTGGCGTCTTTTCTACGGTTCCATTACCTTCCTTGGGACCTTCGCGCTCTGTTTCAATATCAACTCCCCCGACTTCACTTGGTCAGGAGCTGACTCTGCAGTGTTTCTGAGGTGATACCGCTGAGATATACTATATTACTGGAGAAAGTGCTCGGCAAAAAAAGTGTCCGCAAAAACATGGCGGATTTTCGCGCCATATGACGCCATTTCCATGACAACTGGTTCCTCCGGCTCATGGAATTACCGCTGACCAGGCTCAATTCTGAGTCCGCTACAATTTTCACACCCCCCTGGTTTTATGAAAAAAATTTTTACTTTTCGAGGTTTTTGCAGTAAAATCTCGTTGTTTTTTTTATATTTTTTCGACTTTTGACCATTTGTTCAAAGATTTAAAAGTCGTGCACGGTATTCTCGCCCGCGAAAGACAACAAATCAATATGAAAACCCCGAGAAATTTTATAGGCAAAGGCGATATTTGATGGCAGAGCTAACAGGTAAATATTTCACAAAATATTGATATGCTTTTATTTTTAATTTTTAAAAGATAATGGGAGTAAATGATAGAATATAATCCATTACATAACAGGCTCTTTGTATAGTATTTAACAATTATTTACCGAAGTCGAGATGATTATCGGTGAATATTTACCGGGCCGCGAAGCGGCAAGGTAAATATTCACCGATAATCATCGAGACTGAGGTAAATAATTGTTTTAGTATAATTTCTTTCATAAAATTAATCAAATAATTAATATGTGCTTCCGTTATGAATATAATTTACTTCCTTTTTAAAAACGTAATGATCGATCACATGACACATGATCTGAATTCTAAAGCAATTCGGCATTCGGCAAGTTCGTTTGACACTTCACAACAACAATGAGGCTAAGACGCTGAAAACGTTATATATTTACAACAAGGATCATGCACAATAAAAATCTAAGAATGTTATACGTTCAAGAAAGTTAGTTGTTGTTCATATTGATGTTAAATGTGAATGAACATCCCTGGAAAGTACCAGATGGAAGAATTGATTCAGGACACCTCACACTATGTGCTTGAAGGATATTTGCCTCATTTCTGCCAAAGGTTACAGTACTGTTTGCGACTGTTGCACTGCTTTCTGCTGGATGTTGACGAGGGGCAACTGGAGTTGGGATGATTGACGAAGATGAAGTGGCTGCTGTATTTTCTTCGCCATGAACAAACGAACTCAGCGTCGACGACATCTGCTTAAACTGGCTTAGAGTTGGTCTGGCGCAATAACTTTCGATACTTGTATCGCTTCTGTGACCAGTTACGGCTTTAATCTTTCGTGTCTCAACCTTGTTGGACGATAAAACAGTAACGGTGGTGGCTCGCAGCGAATGGTTGGTATAGTAAGGCGATATTCCAGCTCTTTGTGACATATTTCGCATCCTGTTGTTGAGCATGTTATGGCCGAGTACTTTCTTCTCGTACCAAACTATGGCTTCGTTTCGGTTGAACCTGGAAGAAGGATGTCTTGGTCGCTGGAACAACACGTCAATGTCGGGATTTAAGTGACTTAAATACGCTTTGATGGTATTTACTGGACATCTTGGCGATTTTGTGAGAGCGAAGACCTTCCCATCCGAGTGGTCTTCCGTGCCTTCGAGACCGCCAGTGTGATTTTTGCTTGAAAGCATCGTCCCGGGTTCATCTTTATTGAGCTCAAAGTACTCTTCTCCAGTTCCTGTTGTACAAAGACGTAACATCGATTTCTTCATTGCCCTCTGGTTTTCACGACCTCGTTTGCCAAAATACAAGGAAATGTAGAACCAAACTGTTTGCATTAAACAGCGAGGATCACGGGTTTCAGCGCAAGCAAGTTCGCCTTTCTCGAAAAGGAGTTGTACCGCTTCAGGTGTCAAGGGATTTTTGTGGACAGTTCCAGCAATTTTTCCAGTGCTCATGAGGTGTTTCAGGTAGGAATGCAATGTTTTATTTGCTTCTTGAAAGGCGACCAGGTCACAAATTGAGAATTTTTTGTTATATGGTGGTGAGCGAAGATGGCGATCCAACGCAGCTCGCAATGACATTAAGGTTGCCTTTTTGTAGT